TGATCTAGCCCAATGCCACACACAGAATGGATCAGACAGAAATTAATCAGGCAGAGAGTCAGACTGCTCTGTAAGTTCAGGTGGTCTGACTCAAAGCCTCGCATATGCTGGAACCCAAAGGTTACAACTTGGCTATATTTTATTATTATTCTATCTAAGAACGAGCTAATCAGACTGTTCTATAAGTTTAGGTGGTCTGACTATAGCCTATCACAACTTGAAGAGAGTATAAATAAGAATAAGATTGATGGTAAGTTGGGGCATACTTAGCTTAAGTTAGCTCAGCCATATGTAGCCTTAGAAGACAAAGGGAAGACAGGTATATATAACTTGGATAACTTAAACAATTCGGCCGGCTGGAGTGGTCTAGTCATATGCCCAAAGAAGAGAAAAGTAGTTGTGCCCTCTGTTTTGTGTATACTCTTTGGCTAAGTTAGGCACATTCCATAAGTTTGGGTGGCCTGACTTTATGACTTATGTAAGCTGGGTATAAAGGGTTAAACTACTGAAAGATCATGAACTATTGTTTTGCCCATATGAGTTTGGGTTGGTGATACTTACCTTTGTGGTTTGGCCTGTATGTGGCTGAGTGAGATCACTACTTTGTCTAAGCTCAGTTGACAGGTATTTGCTTTAGTTGCTCGCCACGTGCTAGAGCGATAAGAGTTAGTTTCAATTCTTGCATTTTCTGTAGTAATTTTTTTTACTTAGGTCAATTCTTGCATTTTCTGGATCCTTTCTTATACTTGGCTTTGTATAAATCTTGGCAAGCTACTTTCTCTGTGGGAAGCGCTGCCGAAATTTTTACAAATCCAAGGAGTTAGTCAAATTTTGACTTGTCAAAAATTCAACTTGTCTTTTCTTATATCTGACTTAGTAAAAATCTGGGAAGTCTCCTTTTTTAAAGGGAGTGCTGCCCAATTTTTTGCTAATTCAGGGAGCTAGACAAAATTGGACTTTGAGAAGTCAAAGTTATTTTCAAATTCTGGACTTAGCCTTGTATAAATTTTGGAATAGCACTTTTCTAGAGGGAGTGCTGCCGAAATTTCTGCAAAACTAAGGATTTAGTTAAATCTTGTTTAAAGTTGAACTCAAGTTGTCTTTTGAAGTTCATATGTGACTTAGTATAAATCTGGGAAGCCTCCCTTTCTAAAGGGAATGTTGTCCAAATTTTTACTAATTCAGGGGGTTAGACAAAAAAGTGACTTTCCAAAGTTAAAGATTATTTCTGCTTTCATATTTGGACTTATATAAATTCTGGAAAGACACTTTTCCTACGGGAAGCGCTGCCAAAATTTTTTTAGTTTAAAGAAGATCGATTATATTTTGACAGGTGGCGATTTTGATAGTCCACTCTGAATGGGGGAGATTTTGCCATATTACTTAGAGGTAGGCTTAGATATAATTAACTAGGATGATTTGGATAAGATCACGATATGAAGATTGAGCTTATAGGTTCAGCCTGGGGCATTGACCTGTCATGTGTTACAGACCCTCTTGATCGTTGATTCAAGATCCGGACTAGATTCAGCTTGATCCCTTGAGGGTCATCATCTCGTTGATAACAGGTCGGATGCCGATCCGTCGGTTTACGACTCAATTCCAACTCACCCTCCACACTCAACCTAAAAGGCTTTAGCCCTGGTGATTTCATTGTTTCATTAAGGTTTCACCCGGACTTTTATTGAATGGTCATTTAACAAAGGTACTGAGTATTTAATTAAGGTTGGTTGGACAGGAGGTTGGGGCTTGTATGGCTAAAGCGAGGGGTATGAGTGTCGAGGATGGTTGGGGTTGACTCTGTGTAGTGCGTAGGTTGTTGATTGACTCGTTGATGTGATTGCAGGTATGTGCTGTGAATCAGATTCTGGATTTGGTTGCCTGCGATCACGTATATACGTATGGTTGTGAGGGACCCCAATGAGACTGTGAGAAGTGATTGTCACATACTTAGCCCCCTTATATATGCATACATGGGTGTACCTGGGATGAATGTTTGCATGACCTAAGGGACCCCGTGCCAAATGCCTACTCAGGAGATAAGACTGAGAGGCATAGGGAAGACTCCTCATTTTTACTATTCTGCTTCTTGGGAGTTTTTCTTAGTCGGACGTTGGTCCTGGGCCGGGATTCAAGGTCCTTGTCCAGGACATCCCAAGCCCTAGGCTCTGCAGGGGAGGAACTCCCCCTCGCGCAGAGTCTATCTGCACTGCCCGTCGAGGCACCCCACCCTGAAGGCGGAAACGTCGCGAGGGCCGAACGGCATATCCTTCAGCCGTTCAATATCGTGTGGGGTAATCCCTCACGATATATTCCTTCAGCCATTCAATATTGTGAGGTCGGAGCCGCGATTACCACGTATGACTGGCATCGTTGGTTGGTATGAGACTGGCCTGCAGCTGCGCGACTTTATATCAGAATCCCGTGCTTGACGTTTCGCCGCCCTAGCGTCTAAAAGTTATGGGATCAAAGGGACCCGCACATATGCACGAACGCTTGGGACTACTATAGGCCGATGGCACCACCCGAAAAAGGGAGGTACCCCAAGGTCATGTTTTCTTTGGAAATAAGGGAACCTTAGGCCTATTCTTTCTTGCTTTTTAGAGATTTTTATGGTTGGACGTTGTAGTCCGTGGCAACCGTCAAAGTCAAACCCCTTGACTTTTGTCCAAGCCCGGAGTGGGACTCATCTCCAGGGCAGTAAGAAACGACTGCCACCACAGGTATGGACCTGTGTACCACCCGCTCTGCACAGAGTGCAGAAGAGGGTGTGTGGCCTTCAACCGCACATGGCTGTTATCCATCGTCGAGAGATTAACCCTCAAAGCGCGTGTCAGCTGACACTTGAGTGTCGAATGCGACCCTCGAGATTAACGAGGACCGCATGAGTACGGGTGCTACATAGTACGCCATCATTGCGACCGCTTGCGTACGCTTGCATTGCGAGTCGATATGAGTTAGCCCTGCGCCCGCGCGGCTTTATACTAAGTCTCGTGCACGACGCCTATCCGATTTCCGCATCGGAAAGTTATGGGATGGCTACCGAGGGCTAGGAGCGTTGTCGCGTTATTCGGTGTGTGTGTGTGTGTTTTATTTTTGTGTTCGTAAAGTGGTGTGTGCGTGGTGTGTGGGATGCGTCCTAGTCGACCGACGTCAAGTCGCGCTTGGGACCTCAGCCCCCCAAGATGTCGGTTCGCGGGCGGGTCCGATAGAGGCGTATTATCGCGCGTACCCCCTATGCTACAGCGAACGAGAAACGCCCTCGGCTGGTCCACCTCTGCGATTGCAACTGATTAACTTTCGTACTGTGGACTGGTAGCTCGGCGGGGATACGCCCACCGAAGGGAGGTGACAGCTCCCGTAAGGTGGAGATAAGTCGTGCCTCACGTAGGCCCTATCCTGTCGTAGGGGCTCGCGAGAGGTATGGCTGGCGCACTCGGTCGGAGCGGCTTGTGGAAGCTCCATATATATTTGCGACGAGGGAATTAGACCAACTCCTGCGTGACGCGACCGGGAGGGTCCCGCGCTGCCCTGGTGCGGTGTCGGACCGATGCGCTCTACAACGCAACTCTGTGACCTAGCTTAGTGGGGGCGTGAGGCCTGGTAGAGATCTGGGGGGCTGTTTGCGGGGGCAGTCTCAATGGCCATCGGGGGTCGTAACTGAAGCAATGTTGGCCAGCGTTGGAACAAGGTAGTGCAACTCTGTAACCTAGCCTGATGGAAGCATGAGGCTTGGAAGAGCTTCAGTTCGTGCTGAAAGCAACCATGCTAGTGGTGATTGCAGGTGGACTGAATAGGTTTCACCTATCTGATTCATGGTTGGGAGGCTTGTCGACACACATGTTCCGAAGGTTTCTGAGTTTTTTTTCTTCAATTGTTCTTAGTCGAAGCCGGGTAATGGCCTAGGTAGCTCTTTGTTGTATTCTGATAAGGGACGCTGGGCCCGGTTCCCAGCCGTGTTGCTCCCCACGAATAGATTGGAGCATCGTCTCGAAAAAAAAAAAAAAAAAAAAAAAAAAAAAAA